GGATGTAAATAAAAAAAAAAAAAAAAAAAACGCGCGGCTAAGGCGAGGCCATGGGAGATAGAGATGTTTCAAGGAGCTAAAAAACGATCCATGGAGAGGACGATCGATCAAATAAGCAATACCTGATGGGGAGCAGGAGGGTACTCATAGCCAATAGCATTACCATTTGATTGTTTAGTCCCACTTGACGAAGCTGCTTTTTTACGATCTAAATCAGCCGATTTGGATCCAGACTTGCCTTTCGACCTAGAATTTCCCTCTGTATAATATATCCAAAGAAAAATCAATGTAGAAGTACAAAGAACAATCCCAGAAAACTATCAACTCAGATGATCGTTTTCACCAACCGAAGAAATGAAAAACTAGCCTTACACAACTTATACCGATACAAGTAAGATTAAGCAAACGCAAAATAATCTAAGTCAGGGACTCGGGAGTGGAATAAGAAGAAAAGAAAAAGAAATGGCACCTCGAGCTGAACTCGGCGGCGAGGTCTGGAACTGCCAATCAGATAAAAACCCACCATCAACAAACAAATTTCCTCGAACTGAAGACGACGGGTCTGATCTTCTTCTGCCGGAACTACCTTTGTTCTTCCTGAAACCATCACTGGGTTTGGCATGGTTGGTTCTTCGTCTTCCTCCGGCCATCGTAGACCTGGCACTGCCAGAGAACGACAGCGTTTTTATCGATGAGCTCGGCTGGGTAGGTTACAAGTCAAGTTCCCAAAATACGAAGCAAACCGCCACAGCGGGGAAGCTTGCGGTGGCGTCAGCTGGGTAGACGGATAACAAAGAGACCAGCAAGGAATCGGATCCACTCGCTTGCTGGGCAAGAAAACCACGAAGGTCAAGGCCTGCAACTCCCCTTTCAGGCCCGTTTAAGCCCATTTTGTTGATAAAACATTACACTTCTTATTATTGATGTTTAAAAATGAAACAAGGGCAATTAGGTTAGCAGTTAGGCCTTCAATTAATTTAGATATTAACAACCAAACAAGTTGGTTAATTATGTATGTCTTTAACTTCATGGTTTAAATGCAACTTTTATTAAAAAGTTTCCACATCCTTATAAGGTCTCTCTCCCTCATTGACGTGGGATCTCACAATCCACCCCTTTAGTGTCCAGCGTCATCGTAGGCAAACTGACTCTGCATGACTCTAACACTATTTGTAATAATTCAAGCTCACTACTATCAAATATTGTTCACTTTGTCTCATTACGTATTAATGTCAATTTCACGTTTTAAAACACGTCTATCAGAATGAAGTTTTCACACTTTTATAAGACCCATCTTCAATCGATGTGAGATCTCACAATCCACTCTATTCGTAATTGTCCAAAATAAAATAAAAAATATATATTTGTTTATTTAAGAAAGAAAAAAAAAATGGGGAGTGAGTCAATGTCTTGTTCAGCCCAAAAGGGCATCGTATCACATGGCAATCGGCGAAGGCGGCCACACAAGAAACAAAGTAGGCCAACTCCCAACGCACAAGCCCACAAGCAAGCGCAGCACACGGCTCCCACGTCGCTTAATTGCCGCCTTTCCCTTTTGCCATTTGCCGACAACTGTCTTCTCTTCAACCTCCCCCTTAATTTCCCTTCCTTCCCCTATATAATCCTCTTCTTCTCCCTTCCCCTTTCTCTCAACTCCTCCCTGGCGACGGCCACTACCATAGAATCTATGGCCGACGCCTTGTTTGGATCCGTCTACCACGGCTGCATCGCCACCTGCGACGCCGAGATCGCTCGCCGTCCCTACCACAAGAACTGTGGCTGCGCTCTTCACGATCGAGATAACAGGCGCTGTTCCCACTCTATGTCCAAGCACAGCACCGTCTCGTATCCGATTCGACGAGCCTGGAGTGAGGGCTGCTTGGCTATGGCTGCTGCTTCTGGTTCTGGCATTTCTTCTCCCTCTTCTTCCCCGTCGATGGAGTCGGAAGGCCTTGGATCTAACAGGAGATGAACAGTATTCCGATTCTTTTTTTGTTTCGTTTTTCTCTCTCTTTGGTTTCTTAGTTTGTAATACATGAGAAATTCTTTTGATTTAGTGGAAAATAGAGTTGATTGATGAAAGAATGGAATGGTGTAAATCGCTTGATGTTTGCTAATAGAATGAAAATGTTCTGTGCATTTCGATGAACCGATTCATCTATTTCACAGAAACGGCGATTGGCCTCCATTTTACTTTGTCCTCGCGATTGATTGCGTCGAGCGATGAAGATGAAAGCAGAGTCGATTCACGCTCATTCGGAAGTTTCCTTTCGAGGATCCTTCAACTAATACCAAAATTGAATTTCCAAAAATATCTTTAATTTCTCCAACATAAACAGACATAAATATCTCGCTTTTGCATTTTCCTTTTTTTGAGAACATAAATTTTAAAATATTAAATCAAGAATTTATTAAAATTAACGAAATTTGTCAACAAAAATAAGAGTACCAAATAATGATTTATTCGAAATTCGAAATTCCAGCCGTACTCGCACTGAGCATAAAGGCTACCATGATGAAGCCAGCTGTACTATCCCTCCGCCAGGCTGCTTCGCCTCGGACAGATTCTCTTTTCTTCTCTTTCAAGGAAATAAATCACATTTTAAAAAAATAATTTTTATGAATAAATTAGTTTTATTTGGGTTAGAAACCCATGATATTGTCCTGCTTGAGTGAGGACAAGCTCTCATGAGTTTGCTTTGGACTTTGCTTTGGACTTTGGACTTTTCTAAAATGTCTCATACCAATAGTGACAGTATTTCTCACTTATAAATTTATGATCTTCCACTAAATTAACTAAAGTATTTCTCACTTATAAATTTATGATCTTCCACTAAATTAACTAATAGAATTTCTCACTTATAAATTCATGATCTTTCACTAAAATTAACTAAAGTAAGACTTACTCCCAATAACCCTCCACGTATAAATAGGTAAATGGTATATAAATGAACGTAGACAGCATAACTTCAATCAAATTAAAAATAAAAAATTAAACAGTTTAATTAAAACTTAATTAATAATAAATAATGAGAGCATGAAATATGGGTGCAGGTGTAACGCCCTTTGTGGATGCCCATTCTCTATAAGTGGCCTTCACCGACCCATGTGTATAAAGACATATTCAATAATTTCGTCTTTAATTTAATCTCTATGATTTTAAAAGCTCAATCTTGAATCCAAACTTATAATCATATTGATTAATAACTGAGATTGGTTACGTCATGATTCTATTTTTTAACTAACCGTATTTTGGTAACTTTGTCTAAAAAAATTTTAAATATGTTTTGTTCTTACTCGGTAATAATTTTGTTTAGGCCATTTCATTATCATTTCCACTTTTACAAGGCAATTCCATTGTCTTTATTGGAAAATCAATTAGGTGTCCAAATCTCTTAGTTAACCAACCCCACACAACTTCTCAACCCCAACCCATCCCGTTAAATTTGGGGCAAGTTCTTTGTTGTGTTTCGCTCACAAGCAGAAACAGAGAGAATTGGGCAATGGGAGGTGAAATGATGGGCGGATGTGTGTTCGATGGGAGCATTTCGATGCGTGACTTTTTGATCGAACGAAGGCCTTACCATCGCAACTGTGGCTGCGCATTGCACCATCGCCTCAAAAATGGGGGTTGTCCGCATGCTCTTAACTCCTCTGTTTCCTTTCTCAAAGCTCGGAAATGGACCGATACTTGTCGGCTGCAAATCCAGGCCATGTCCGAGTTCTCCGCCCATGCTGCTCCTACCTCTCTTCTTCACGACCTTTCTTCCGGTATATGTGCTAATGAAGTTTCAATTTGTTCAGAGAATTAATTCCTTCTTTTCTTTGCATTTAGTCTCTAGTTACTCTCTACTTATGTGAGTTTGTGATTACTTGTGTAAGCTTAATGCAAAATAAATGGATTTATGTAAATTCTAACCCATGTTGATCGATTTAACTATATTTATCCTATTTGATTGTGATTATTTAATTCTTCCTTTTCTCTTTGCAACTTTTTTTTTTTTCAATGGATTATGCAAACATTTGCAATGGAAGAAAAAAAATATCAAATTTATTTATAATCAAATATTTATATTTCTAATTTATTTGATTATAAATTTATTTTCAATGGATTATGCAAACATTTGCAATTTATTTTCAATGGATTATAAATAGAGGAATTATGCAACCAAACAACTGTAGGGACTTTCTCTCTTACCTCGATTGACGAATCAAAATCTGGATTTAACATTTTCTTTACTTGAACCCTACTAGCGCGATATCAATAGGAGGTTAGATAAGAGGTCCGCATTTACGAAGAAGCTGACCTATTGATAAAAAACGGAATAAAGAATTGACTCCATTGATGCATTAATGGGGACAAAGGACTCAAGGATCTCTCGATCTACTTACAGCTTCCCAGTAAAAAAAACGTTGTTTAAACATTCCTTCTTACTCCGAACTCTCATACACAGGTTGACTAATCAGCGAAAGAAAATCTATTAAAGATATTTAATACTTATTCATAGAAATGGAAAGATATTTATTGAGACTTTGACTAAATCAAAGAGGAATATACTAGAATTTATGCCACAAGTCAATTACGAAAATGAACAAGAACAAGAACGATCAAAATTTCTCCATATACACACACTAACAAATAAACGAATGAGTCCAAACAATTCCCCAAGTTTTTCCATTAACCAATCAATTCCTTTAATGTTGTTCCCTTGAAGCCAATGGCACAGCAAACCTCGAAGAGAAGCCAATTGGGGGGCGATCGTCTTCTCCATCAACCCCGCCATCGAAATTCAGAGCATAGCTTTCAGGGTCATATTGAAACCTGTTCCTCTGTTTTTTCCCCTTCAAATAGCCTCCCATTTTTCTTATGAAGTTCTTCCATTTGGGTCCAGCCACCATTTCTGAAACCTCCTTCAACTTCTTCAATTTCTTCACCATCCAAAACTCCTCTTCCCGTCCCCGCTGCTGCTGTAGAAGATTTCCCTCTTCGTAATTGCCGTTCCGATTGAATCCGAACCCGAAAAGCTGAAAGCAGCTGCACCCATTTGAGGGAATGGCCTCGTCGGTGTCGTGAAGGTGTTCTTGTTCCTCGTTTAGAGGTGAATAAGGCGTGGGAGGCGGTCTGGTTTGATGGGTCGCCATGGGAGAGAGAGAAACAGAGGTCTTAAGTGAATTGGGATTGTGGGGATGGTGGGTTTTGTTCAGCTAGTGGAAGCCATTGAAGGGATATAAAGGAGAGACGAAATGACGCAGAAATGGGAGATGGGTCCTTGAATGCGTCTAAAGACGAGTTTATATGACGTCCAGGGAAGGAAAGAAAACTCCAATTGCCAAGCTATCTTTTTCCAAGGAAAGCGTGTGTCCTCTACAGTCAATTTCGTTACAGTCCAACTTAGAGGTTTCTACACTCTTATAATAAATACCAATCTATTGGAACGACTAAGTTTAGAGCATGACTTTGATACCATGTTAGAAAGCTTCATACCAAAAGAGAGAGTATTTTTGTTTATAAACCTATGATCATTCTCTAAATTAGCGGGATTTTCATCCTCCAACATATACCATAATAAACAAGTAAGGTGGATTTGGTTTGGAGTTAGTTGGTGATAAATTCAAGCATGGAGCATCAAAGTTGACCAGATTTAGAATGGCGGCTGCGCAAGCACGTGGTGCCTTAATGTCAATATTCTAGAGTCTCTATGGTTGTGAGCGCTGTTTCTGAAGAATTTTGGGTTTGTCATTTGTTCATATTATATAATACACTGTCCAATCAGATTCAACTCTTTTAAAGTTGAATGCTTTTTGCGGAGGTTGCTGGTCGGCTTAACTCGTAAGGAATGATTTTGTCAAAAATTGGATCTTTCCTACCCAATTTTCTTTTCCATATTTACTTGAAACTCGAAGCTTAGCCTCTCTCGTGGAAGTGTTCACCGTACACCACCTGATAGCGCTGCCTGACGTTTCACCTTGGATGGGCCCGAATCACCAACCTTGAGGCACAAATAGCAGCATAAAACACATCAAATGAACTACCAAACGCGCACCAGTAGAGCGGCCTCGCACAGAGAAGCAGAATGCCATGTATGCCACCTCTTACGATGGATTTCAGAATCCGGTCCAATAATCAATCAGCCCAACTAGATTCCTTTACTGTTGATGGGACAAGGAAGGGATTCCTTAAAATCTTTTTCCATCCAATCGAAGCTAACAGTCATCATCTATTAGTTGTGAGCTTAAGTTGTTACATGAACCGATTATATTAAATTTGATTGACTTAACTTAGCTTGGGCCTAGCTAGGCTTTCCCGCTATTTGGTCCTTTTGTTTCTTCTTATGGTTTGATCAATAACTTCTTGGTGAATAAATTCTTAATTATCATACTTATAATATATAACTAAAATGATATACCTTTTAAAATTTTAATCTTATTACTTAGTTCAAAAAAATTTGGATAAATTAATAAAAATATCCATAAATTTAGTTCTAAAATTAGTCTTTAAACATATTTACTAATAAACTTAATTTTTTAAAAAGTTTTAACAATACTTTTGTTGTTATTATCGTGTTTAAAAAATGTTCATGTAACGACCTCTTTTAACCTTTATAAAAAACTAAAAATTGTTAATATCATATCCTTTCTTAATTTTAAAGGTATTAACCTAAAAAAAAAAAAAAAACTCTTTTTAAAAGTTTAAAGACATTATGTAAATGCAATGGAATTAAATAAAAAAAAAATGATCTCTTTTAGTAAAATGTTTCCGTCCACGAGTCTTACAAGGTGTGGTAGCAAAGAAAGCCAATTGATTGACCTGAAGTTGATGGGTCAGTCCAAATGGGTTTAAGCTTTAGGCTTCAAGAATGGTATCGCCATAATTTCTTGGTTGGTTGATTGAGACTTCAATTTAATATCATGTATTCCAATTGTTTACTTCAACTCTACTCTGGTAAATTTCTCCGAAGTTTCTCGCTCGCTTCCCTCCTAATTTCTTCCTTCTCTTTCCAATCACTGAACTTAACTACCAATTCCATATCAAACCGATAAAGCCCTAGATCAGTGCAGGAACTTCAGCTTTCAAGGTTTCGCCAAGTTTCTCCCATGGCCGGAATGCTTCCAGGTGTAGAGTGTGCTCGAAGAAGACGGTTACATCAAACCAAAGCATGCTCGGATTCACCGCCCATCGTCGCCACTCGGACCTTAACCAGGAAATCCGTTCTCTGCTTGTACACAAGCAACCACGAAACGCTCCTCGCTTCAAATCCCTCTCTGGTTCGTAAATCGCATCTCGACCTGTCAATGAATTAACAAATTATTCATTCGATTGAGGATGATGAACAGAGCTGATTCGATTTATCGTGTTTTTTTTTTCTTTTGCAGCAAGGAAGCCTGCTAGTCGAGGCACAAGAAAACGATAATCTGGACGGAATCGCGAGAGAGGCGAAGAGGAGATTGGACGAGCGATTGAGGAAATCAGAGGATAAAAGGTACTGAAACAACGGCGTCCGGAACAGCCGCGATGAATTTACATTTCGTTAATTTATTAATCATAAAACCTAAACGAAACACATCCAAAATTACTCTTGTAATCTGCGATTGGATGCAGAGGGATAGCGACGAGAAAGTTCAGTTGGACGAATTGGATCGCCGGCGAGCAAAACAATTGTGGTCAGTGCTGGTGATGAAGACAACTTCATTCCAGTGGCTCCTTCTTCTTCTTCTTCCGCACAGTGCTTGTTTTTATTTATTCAACACAGGATGGGATGATAGCTTTTTTTATTTAGAACTGCTCGTAATTTCCTCCAGATTTTTCGTTAACTCGTGACGAAAAACATTTGTCAATATGTTTTCTGATGTATGAGATGTTAGAATACAGAGATGTTTTTGGTTTATCTGAATGATTCTGCTTATAATTGTTCAGTTCTTCATAACTTTTTTTTTTGTGTGTTCATATTTATCATCCAGTTCATTGTTCATTTGGATTCTCTTTTACGTTTTTAATTTTTTTTTAAAATTTGGTAAGAAATCCCCAAACACTTCATAAATTACTGTTTGTTAAATTCAAAATCGATTTGAATAAGCATGCCATTTTATTATTTGGTAAAATAATTCAGAATTCTAGTAATTTATCTCCAACAGCCAAATTTGGCATTATTTAAATTGCTTTCAGATTTTAGTTAATTTTGAAAATTTATAAATGGAAGCAAGTTAAAATACCCCGTGAAAGTCAAATTAACAAGTCTGGCCAAATAAACCAAACAAAATCAATAAACAAACAGACAAAAATAATAAAGCGTTAAAAGATGATTATTATAAATATAAAGTATGTCCATCAATTTAACTATATAATTAGTTTTTTTTTATTGCAATTATATGCTATTACTTTAAATTAATAGTCAACAATTAACTTAAATTAAATGATAATAATCTTGTCAATGTTTATTACTAGAAAAGGTCAATGATACCATACGGTGTAGCCAAATTTTATCGTAATGTTTTAATTTTTGAACTTAAATATTATGCATAAATAAATATGGCAATTTTTATCATTTTTTAATTTTTGCTAAATTTATTCTCTAATTTACAAAAAAAAAAAAAAAAAAAAAAAAATTTT